CAGGTCCATCACATTCAGCCCCGCCAGCTTGGCGGCATCCAGCAGGGCCAGGCGCTGCGGGGGGCATGGGTAGGGCGGAGCGGCGGCGCGGGCGGCGAGGGGAGGGTGGGTGCGGTGTGCGGGCGCGGCGTGCTGCCGCCGCACGCCAGGGGCTGGGCCTGGGGGGCAGCAGCGGGCAGACGCGGCCGCCGCGGCACGGCTGCCAGCCCCCGCGTGGACCTGTCGTTAAGGCTTGCGGCTGCTGGCTGCTGGCTGGCTGCTGGCTGCTGGTTGGCTGGCTGGCTGGCTGCTGGCTGGCTGCACGACCCACCTGCTGCTGCGTGAAGGAGGCGGGCACCGTGAGCACGCAGTCGGTGATGGGGGAGCCGTCCGCCGCCACCTCAGCCAGCTGCCTGGCGTACTCCAGCAGGCTGGCCTGCGGGCGGGCGGCACGTGGGGGCGAGGCACGGCGGGCAAGCCACGAGAAGAGAGGTCGGGTGCGGCGCGGCAGGGGACGGCGTGCGCGTGCCTGCCTGCGCATGATCGCGCGGGGCGGCTGCGGCCACGCCACCGTGCCCCCCTCTCCCTCTGCCCCCCAGCTCACCGCCAGCTCCTCAGCCGAGTAGGCGTCGCCGCCGTCGGTCTGCACCGCCGCGGCGGCGGGCGAGGTGCGGTTGGGTGCGGGCACCAGCGTGTATGGCCGGTAGCTGGCCTTGAGGCTGGCTGTCAGCGCCGGGTCGTCGGCGGGGCGGCCCAGCAGGCCCGCCACCCCTGCGTACACGCGGTCTGGGTAGCGGGCAGCCACGCCCGCCGCCTCCTCACCCACCAGCCGCTCGCCGTCCACAAAGGCCACTAGCGCGGGCGTCTTGCGCTTGCTCATCTCGTTGATGACAATGGAGATGGGGATGCGGCCGGGCTTGACGATGGACAGCTTCAGGAACTCGGAGCCCAGGTCGATTGCCAGCAGCGCGCCGCACGCGGGCCCCGACGCCAGCGCCAGCACCAGCAGCGCGGCGGCTGCCACCGCGGGCAGCGGGCCCACGCCCCCCCGCCGCATGGCCTGGAGAGAGCGCCCTGCAGGGGTGGGGGGCGAGGGGCGGGGTAGGGGGTCGGGGGAGGGCGCAGCAGCGCAGGGGCGACGACAGGAGGCAGATGGCATGAGGGGCAAGCGGGAAGGCCATCACAGCGCGGCGGCAACCCAGCAGGCATGTATGGCTGAGTCCAGGAACGCTCAGCACACTCGATCGGCCACCTTCTGTGACTAGAAAGGGCTTTGCAGTGGTGCAAGTGTGGTATGCCCCTCGCTGCTCGCAGAGTGTATACAATGGCCAGCGGAATGGCGATCGGTTCCTTTTGGGATGGGTGACTCTCTCGGTACATGTGCCACGGCGGTGCAGTACATCCCTCCTGGCCTCCTCACTCAAACCTGCTTGCACCCTGCCGGGCCGTGTCATCTGTGCGCTTTGGGTGGCTTCAAGCACCAGCGCCGCCCCTCCGCAAAAGTGCGTGTCGTTGGGGAGTCGTTGTGGCCCTGAAAGCAGACCAAACCATGGCAATGGCGACCCGCGACGTCGAAAAAGAGAATGCCGTTCAGAACGAGGCGTCCCCCCGCGTTGCGGGCCCTGTCAGCGGCGGCAGCGGCGGCAGGAAGCGAACGACTGTGGGCAGCAGCTGCCGAGAGGCCAAGCGGCAGCGTGCCGTATCCGCAACAGCATTACTAGAGCAGCCATGCCGAGAAGGCATTCTGCCACCCGGCGAGCCAACAGGGCAGCAGCAGGCAGCACCTGGTGCAGACCCGGCGCCGGCGCCAACAGCAGTGGCCGCGGCTGCCGAGCCGCTGTCTGCTGCGAGCCCAGCACAAGATGACCGGCTAGTGCATGCGAAAGCGAAGGCAAGCCTCTTCTTTATCCGCCACTGCCGCAATACACCTGGGACAGTCCTACCAGCCTGTGCTTTCATCCCGCGCTTGCTTCCACCAGCCTCCCTACCTGCCTTGCAACCTGCAGGGCTGCGCAGCCGCATCGCCCGGCCCAGCAGCATGCGCGGCAACCGATGAAGAGCCCAAGGGCGCTGACGGCAGCGGCGGCGGCAGTGCGCAGCCGGAGGGTGTCAGCATGGAGGGGCTGCCAAGCTGGTGCGATCGCCCGCTTGTCACGCGGGAGCACTTCCCCGAGGATGCTGTGGTGAGTGCGCAGGGTCCATGCCAGGCCGGCTGCATGCCCTCCAACCCGACAGGCTGGCTGGCACACCCGTGTGGGAGCCACACGGGGGAGGGCTGGCATGGCTCGACGACTGTGGCAGGGTAGCGGCTTGGCAGATGGTGTGCCGCTGCCGAGTGGCTGCTTTCGCAGGTGGATGCGTTTTGCCTCCTGCCTGGGCACCCGCTGCTGGCACTGGCGGCGGAGGGCCAGGCGCCGCTGCTGGGCAAGGTGCTGGAGAATGGGGGCGACCCGGATGCACGCGACAGCCGCGGCTACACAGGTGCCGCTCGGCTGCTCGCGGTGCAGGAGATAGGCTTTGGGCTGCCTGGCCGCACGATTCCGCCAGCGGATGCCATCCCTCCCTTGTTCCAGCCACACCAGCCAGGCATCTGGCGCCAGCGTGCCAACCAACCTGCCACCCCCGCCATCTGCCCCATCTGCTCGCATCTGCTTGCAGCGCTCCACTTGGCCTGCTGGCATGCACGGCTTGCTTGCGTGCGAGTCTTGCTGGAGGCTGGCGCATCGCTGCAAGTGGTCGATGCGGCGGGAAGAACGGCGGGGGAGCTGGCTCAGGCGGCAGGTCATGCTGACGTTGCGGACATGCTGCGGCAGCACGAGGAGGTGCAGCGTGCACTGCGAGAGCAGCGGCTAAAGCAGCTGGAGCACAGCCAGGAGCAGGCAGAGATGGTTGATGCCGCATGCTGAGGTGCCTTGCCAGGTCAGGCATGTGTCGCTGTGGCGCATGCATGCATTCCAGGTACAGTGGTAGCTTCTTTGGAGTTGGATGCGGCTTCCACACTGGCGGGCACCGGTGAGAAGTGTCCCTGCGGCTTCCCTGCGGCACAGCTGTGCATTTGATTCAGACATCTGTGTGGTCCTTTTAGAAGCGGAATCGCCGTATCGACAGCAGGGGTCCACCAACCGAGACCTGCCACCTGGCAGTGCCTCCTGGCTGGCACCAATTGGTTTCGGGAGTGGTCGCTGGTGCCGCCAGGTGCCGCCCTGATCGGACTCCATAGACCAGAGGAGCTCATACATTGCAGCATCGGCGCGGAAAGGGGCAATTTGCAGGTTTTGGGCCCGAGCTTTCCAAAGCAAAAGTTTACAAGTGCAGACGCTCCCACAACCCTCCTACGTATTCCTGCCATCGCTTACCTGCGCTGTAGTCGTCTCCCGGCACTCGTCGTCACCTCTGGTGGCACGGTGAGTGTGCAGGGTGCTTGCCGTGGGGTGCCGTTCTGACCGATACCTTCCATCACTGCACCGCCGCCTCTGCGCGACCTGGGCACCCCTTCCAGATGCATTTCTATGCTTGCGAGAGATGATTGTGCAGGCGCGCAGGCGCCCTGCTGCCGCCTTCCCCGCCTCCGCCATGCACATGGGGCTGGGTACCCCTGATACCTTCTTAACGCACTTGCACCCCGATTCCACCCTCTAAACGCTGCCGCAGGACCGCGGAATAACGCCTTCAGCACCCCCGCCTCCTCCGCCGTCACTCCCCCGCCATCATCATGCGCTGCCGCTGCGCTGCCGCCCTGGCGGCAGCGCTCCTCCTGGCCCTTTCCGCCTCCACCCACGCCGCTGTCGTGGCCCCCGCCACCCCCGTCACCCCTCCCCAGCTCCGCTACGACGGCCCTGAGGGCCCCGGCGTCATCTACGCCCCCACCGACGCCTATGCGCAGCTGGTGCGGCAGCTGACGGCGGGCCTGGCCGTCACCGCCGACGCCTTCCTCAAGGACCAGGAGCTGCCCGACGACGGCGTGGTCATCGCCTCTGCGCCCCCAGCCAACGTGACCGTGGACCAGGTCAAGCAGGCTCTGGGGACCATCATGGCGGCGGTGTCGGCCGAGGCCTCGGCGCGCTCCTCCCTGGGCGACCCCGCAGTCTTCCCGTGAGTCAGTCGTGGCGGCAGGCCGCCCCACCCCCGCCCCGGCCGGCTGCCGACGATGCAGTACCTGATGCATTGCCTGCAGCGCTTGCCGGATGCGTGCCCCTGCCCTGCATGTGCCCAGCGCCGGTACCCTTGACTCACCGCCACTCTCCTTGCACCCCTCCCTGGCGCACGCAGCTACAACGATGGCACCGGCCGCGTCGCCCTCTACCGCTTTCCCAGGCGCCGCGCCAGGGGCACCTGCATCTTTGTGCACGGCTGCAAGCACGACCCCCACAGCTGGTTCTACAAGAGCAAAAAGTGCCCGAGATGCACCGGTGAGTAGCCCGCCCGCCTCCTGGCCGCGACGGCGCCCATGCACCTGGCCCTCCATTGTGCAAGCGCACGGCATGCCGCAAGCACTGCCGCGCCCGTGCGGTTGTGTAGGCCTGGGCCGCTGCTGGGCCTGCCCGTCGCCTTGATCCCACCCGCCTCCCGCTGCCCTCCCGTGCCTCCCACCACCCCCGCCGCAGGCCTGCCCGAGGAGGTGTCCCACTCCAAGCAGTGCCTGGCCCGCGGCTATGCCGTGCTGGCACTCATGTCCCTGGACCGCCGGTACCGCTTCCGCTGCTTCTCCAGCTCTGGTGGCCCGGGCTCAAGTGAGCGTCCCGGGCGCCTTGCCCGCCCGCCTCCACTGTGCCGGCGCATCCTACAATGCCCCCATAGTTTGCCAGCCAGCTCGCAGTGCCTCCCTCTTGCCCATAGCTCAGCCCACAGCTCCCCACCCGCCCGCCTGCCCGCTACTCTCCCCGCCCGCTCTCTCCCGCAGATGACCACCCCTCTGCCCGCGACCTGGTCACTAACTGGATGAACACCTTCAACATGATGGGCAAGGCCAAGTTCATCTTTGGCGTCTCCTCGGGCGCCTCCTTTGCCGTCAAGTTCCCCATGACCATGTGGATGGACGGAGTTGTCAGCGGTGGGTTTCTCCAGAGCACAGCCGTAAACCAGCCTCAGCCAACCCACCCACGCCTCCACGGTGGTGCCAGTGCTGCTTGGCCCCTGCCCCCTCCTCACCCGCCGCCGCCCCATGTGCCTATTTGCTCCACAGAGGTCAACATGCCGTGGGAGAAGGCGTGGGGTGCCACCGACGGTCGCGGCAACCTGAAAGTCAGGTTCCCGCCCACCGCCTTCTACATGATGCAGGTGGGGCGGGCAGCCAGCCAACCCTGGGCAGCGCCCACAACACACCCCGCCCTTCCTGATGCCAGCCCTGCCCTGGATCCAGCACCCATGCCGCTCACATCTTGTTGGCATGGCCTGCCCACCTGCCTGCAGCGCGACGATCAGACCAGGCGCCAGATTGAGCAGGCCACATACATCCTGAACCGCAATGGCGTGCCTGCCGAATACGTATATGTGAGTGTGGCGGCTGTGGCGGCAGCGCCCCTGGTTCTCAAGAACCGCTCCCCGCTGCCCACGCGTTGCACCCCATGCTCACCACTTGGGCATCCTCCGCCACCCCTGCCCACCTGGCAGGTCCCCGCCCGCCCTGTGCACCGCACCTGGCTGGCGCAGCGCTCAGTCTACATCAACAAGCAGCAGTCGGCCCAGATCTGGCAAGCGCTGGTCAAGGCCCGCGTCATTGACCGCCGCGGCAACGTGTTGTACGACGTCCGCACCGTGAGTGGCGGGCGTCTGGCTGCAGCCGTGTGGCCGCCCTACCCTGCGCCAGCCACCTGCTGCCAGCCACGCCTGCCTCGTGTCAGCCCGCCACTCGCGCGCCCTCCCTCCACTGCCGCAGAATCGCAAGTGGGTCAACCAGCTGCTGAAGGCCGTGCCCTGGCTGAAGCAAAACGACCCTTTCTACAACCTCGTCTCCGATGAGAGCCAGATCTGGCAGGGTGGGTGGCCGGCTGCCTCCCTGGGGCTCCGCATTCTCCTTGCTCTGCCGCCGCTGATGTGCATCAGTCTGCACGGACGATTGATTGCACAGCTGTTTCCCTTGATTCATTTGCAGAGCTCAACCTGGCTTGGGCGTGGCACGAGATTGTGTCGGGTGAGCACCGTTGCTGCATGGCATGGCAGGCGCAGCCACCGTGGCCTGCCCCCGGGAGGCAGCCCTGGCATGTTGCTCACTCACCGCCCGCCGCCATCCACTCCCCACCTCCGCCTGCAGACTATGTGCGCGCCACGCTGGCCTGGCTGGAGAACCCCCGCCGCTCAAACCTCAACGCGCTGGTGCGCAAGTACAACGTGCGGGACAACATTGCCTGCCTCACCGAGAAGCGCGAGGGCTGCCGCGGCAGGGGGTGATGTGCCGCACCAGACGGCGGTGCCCTCCCAGCTCCGCTAGTGTCTGTATGCCTAAGAGACACATAGCTAGCTAGCTTTCAGCAGCAGTCATCTCCACCCTTTCCCGTGGTTTGCCTGGTCATACACAGCAGATGCACAAGCTTTGGATAGGCTCGCATAGTTGTACATAGTCGCCAGCCAGGACGTGCTGCTCCGGACCGTTGTGCCCATTTCCCACTCATAACTGCCCACCGATCCCCTGCCGCTGCTCTCCTCCCAACCAATCCCTTGAACATGGTACCTCCCCCGCCGCTCAGTGTCTCTACTTCCTCCATGGGTGCAGCCCAATTGCTTACAATTACACCTGCCCACCCCTTTCCTACAGCAGCCAACGTGCATCATGCGCAGACGAGCCCAGCAGTTGTTGGGTGACTACCATGATGCTGTTGCATGATGCGAATGAGAGTTGTGGTGAAACAAAACGATGTGTTAAAGGCAGAACTGACCTGCGCGGGCACACTGGGGGTGTGGGCGGGGAGAAAGTGCAGGCACATGCACGGGCTTCGCAGGGCCTAACTGCTTGGATCGGGCTGCTGCGAGGCCAGCAGCAGCAGGAGAGGTGGCGAGGCACCTTGAGGCCACGGCAACACGGGATGGCCAGCAGCAAAGATGCCATGCAGTGGTGGCGGCACGTCGGTTGGAGGGCGGTTAGCGGCGGGTGGGGGGGGGATTCTTGTCCAGCGGCACATAACACAGACTTGTGCTTTCAACAGAGCGTCTCTGCATCGGCCTGCGCCAATCCTACCCCTCCATTGTCCTACCACCAGGTGGAATCAGCGCACCACTGCAGCTGGAGGCTGCCGCCCACGTGCCGCCGGCGGGGGCCAGCACTCTGGCCCCCGTGTGGTGGCGGTGCGGCAGCCGCCGCTGCCTGCAGACATCTCCTGACCCCGATGCAAGCAGGCTCCATGGTCAGCACGCGCCCTTTGTGATGATGACCCCGCGGCCCATCATCCATGCCGCGTCCCCAACGCAGCAGGTCCATGGACCCATCAGCGGGAAGGGCTTCTTCAATCCATTCCCAGCCTTCCCGTTAATTACCTTCAAGGCAGAGGCAACGGCGTGTAGCGGTGAGTCCAGGACAGTCTGTCGACTGGCAAGCGCGTTTCTGCGGCGGAGGCACGGCATGTGGTGGCTGCCCCCTCTCCTGCCGACGGCATTTTTGCATTCGATCCGAAGAGACAGCAGCTGCGATGGGCACAAAGCTGTGCATGACCTCTCTCCTATAGGGGCATTGGGAGCGGCGGGCGTGCACACGCCGCCTGGTGCACAGCCCCTCTAATCCGGGCGCCTGGATGCTTCAATCACGTGCTGCAGGCCTGCACCAGACGCAGACCGCGAGCATGCGTCGACCACTGCATGTCCTGCTGGCGGCGGCGGCCGCATGCGCGCTGCTGGCGGCGGCGCCGGCCCGCGCCCAGAGCCTGGACGGCCCCATGGGCCCCTTCGCCATCCAGCCGCCTCCCGGGCTGGCGCCCCTGTACGCCAGCATCCTGCAGGGGCTGGACACGGCGGCCCGCTACTCCAACGCCGGCCTGGAGGTGCCCGAGATGGTGGGCGCCTCGGCGGCCGCCCCGGTCGTCAACGCCACCGGGGAGCAGGTGGCCACCGCCATCGGCACCGTCATGGCGGCCGCCATGATGCAGACGGACGCGCTGAGCTCCCTGGGCGCGCCGGACGTGTTCAAGTGGGTGCCGCGGCTGCAGGGTGGCGCCACCGCCGCCGGCACGATCGGGCGCGCCATGCCACAGCCGGCAGCCTCTCGTTCCCAGCTGCGCTGGCCGGCCAGAGCTGGACTTCGGCAAGCCTCGGCACGCAGCCGTGGCCTGCGGGCACACTGAGCCGCCGCGTGCCGCCTCGCCGCCCTGCGCAGGTACCCCATGGACCGGAAGCGTGTGGCCCTCTTCAAGCTCCCGCGCATCCCCCGCAACCGCATCAGGGGCACCTGCATCTTTGTGCACGGCTGTAAGCACGACCCCCACAGCTGGTTCTACAAGAGCAAAAAGTGCCCGAGATGCACCGGTGAGTAGCCCGCCCGCCACCTGGCCGCGACGGCGCCCACGCGCCTGGCCCTCCATTGTGCAAGTGCACGGCATGCCGCAAGCACTGCCACGCCCGTGCGGTTGTGTAGGCCTGGGCCGCTGCTGGGCCTGCCCGTCGCCTTGATCCCACCCGCCTCCCGCTGCCCTCCCGTGCCTCCCACCACCCCCGCCGCAGGCCTGCCCGAGGAGGTGTCCCACTCCAAGCAGTGCCTGGCCCGCGGCTATGCCGTGCTGGCAT